ACTCTTGCAATCCCATGAACCATAGCCTGCCAGGTCCATGGAATTCTTCAGGCAAGAATACTGGAATGGGTTGCCATTTCCCTCTCCAGGGGAACTTCTTGATGCAGGAATTGAACCCAGGTCTCCCGCTTTGCAGGCAGATGCTTTACCGACTGAGCTACACAGAAAGCCTAGAAAAAGAAAAAAGGTTGTGCAAGAATAGAGACATAATCACAACACACTATGTAATCAGTGAATGTTGATTTAACCTAAATCATGGTATAGTTAATGATGGACAGGGAATGATGATAGACAGTAAAACCCTCATCTATGGACAAAGAAGTCAAGAGATATTGCTCAGTCTCTAAACACAGTACAGGGTGCGCAGACGCCCACTCATGTCTGACTCTTTGTGACTTCACAGACTGTTGCCCACCAGGTTCCTCTGTCCATGGGACTCTCCCAAGAGGAGAGTTTCTTGGAGAAATGCTTGGTTTCAGATCTGGAGTAGGAAATGCACAAAATGAGCCCAGGACAACTTGTCACAGCTGAAAACCAGGACACGATCAAGGATCCCTGGGTGGTGGATATAGGGCTCAGTGCAGTGGTCTCTGTACATTTGTTTGTGTTTGAGATTTTTCACTGTTAAAAGAAAAAATGAGTTGGGATGTAAGGTTGGGAGGAAGAAAAGAGAACTTCCTAGTAAATGCAATTCAATTCTATTTGAATATTTTAAATAGGAATGCAAATATATGTATTCCTCGTGCAATTTCTAATGAATTTTAGATTAAAATGTAAAAGAAACAGTGCTGTAAGCATATTACACAGAAGTGTGAGGTTCAGTCCCACGGAGACTAATAAGGGTTGAAAGTGTTGGCCAAAGGGAGGTGTAACAAGGCCATGAAGCAAGGCGAGCAGGGAATTGCTGTTTTGTTGTCTGTAAGTCTTTTGGTCTTATTTGGCTTTTAAATTATGTGCCTATTTTACTTCAATAAAAACAAGCTTTAATTTTAAAGTATAACATTTTTAATAGAAGATAATGGGCTTTGGGATCACATGGAACATTAAAAACTTGATTTGGGCATTTACCAGCCAAGAGGCCTTGAGCTGTGGCTTAATCTCTCCCAGTTTGTTCCTCTATGAAATAAAGATAATAAACATATCCACCTGTGGAGTCCTGAGGCTTCAACATAATACCTTTGAAGCAATTAGCCTGGCACATATTCAGTATATGGTAGACATTATTACTGTATTATATTTAGAACCTTTGCAGAAGCTGAGCTCTAAATCTGCCTGAAGCTGAGACAGGTGGTCAAAGGCTGCCAAAATACAGTGTGGATGGATGAGGATGTTGGGTGGGGCAGGCAGTGTGCCCTCCTCCAACTTAAAGAGCAGAGAGAGCTGGAGGAATCTGAATGGANTGAGACAGGTGGTCAAAGGCTGCCAAAATACAGTGTGGATGGATGAGGATGTTGGGTGGGGCAGGCAGTGTGCCCTCCTCCAACTTAAAGAGCAGAGAGAGCTGGAGGAATCTGAATGGATGGTATGTCCTCAGAGGGGAAGTTTCCCTCATGTAAAGGAACAGAGAAACTTTCTCTAAGGTACATGAATACTAACAAAACTATAATGAGCAGTCTGTACTTAATGCTGGTGATTTAAGATGCCGTAACTCTTCAAATCCAATTAGGAAGTTGCAGCCTGAATTGGATCAAGAGGGAGTTGAAAGTAAGCAAACTGACTTTTCCACACTATTAGTACATTGTTAACAGAAAAGCAGAATAAAAAAGTCTTGGATCAAATGCATGTTGATCAGTATGAGTAAAATTAATCAGGAAAACATATTTTTATATAGGTCTCAAATTTCTTTAGAATTAGTTTTAGTAATGTGTCAATTTCTTATACACTATGCATGTGTGCTAAGTTGCTTCAGTCGTGTCTGACTCTTTGCCATCCTATGGGCTGTAGTCCGCCAGGCTCTTCTGTTCATGGGATTCTCCAGGCAGGAATACTGGAGTGGGTTGCCATACCATCCTCTAGGGGATCTTCCTGACCCAGAGATCAAACTTGCATCTCTTATGTCTCCTGCATTGACAGGTGGGTTCTTTCAGTTCAGTTCAGTCACTCAGTTGTGTCTGACTCTTAGTGACCCCATGGATTGCAGCACGCCAGGTTTCCCTGTCCATCACTGACTCCTGGAGCTTGCTCAAACTCATGCCCATCAAGGTGGTAATGCCATCCAACCATCTCATCCTCTGTCGTCCTCTTCTCCTCCTGCCTTCAATCTTTCCCAGCATCAGGGTCTTTTCCAATGAGTTGGTTCTTTGCATCAAGTGGCCAAAGTATTGGAGCTTCAGCATCAGTTCTTCCAATGAGTATTCAAGGTTGATTTCACTTAGGATTGACTGGTTTAATCTTGCTGTCCAATTTTCACTCTTCTCCTTCATCCTCATCTAGAGGCTCTTTAGTTCCTTTTAGCTTTTTTGCCACTGGAGTGGTATCATCTGCATATCTGAGGTTGTTGATATTTCTCCCGGCAATCTTGATTCCAGCTTGTAACTCATCCAGCCAGGCATTTCACATGATCTACTCTGCATATTAGTTAAATAAACAGGNAAGACTAGCTTGGAGAATTTTGAGCATTGCTTTGCTAATGTGTGAAATGAGTGAAATTATGTAGCGTTTGAACACTCTTTGGCATTGCCTTTCTTTGAGATTGGAATGAAAACTGACCTTTTCCAGTCCTGTGGTCATTGCTGAGTTTTCCAAATTTGCTGGCATGTTGAGTGCAGCACTTTCACAGCATCATCTTTTAGGATTTGAAATAGCTCAAGCGGAATTCCATCACCTCCACTTAGTTCATACTGAAGAGTTGGAATCTGCCTTAGTAATGGAATGACTTGAGCCCCACATGAACCCTGTGGGGGGGAGGGACTCACCCCCAAGTTAAATCCAGAGCCGTTGCAGGAGGCGCAGCTTTACTCACTGCTTCTCCGTTTCTCAGTCACTCCTTGGCTCTCTGTAATCAGCCTTCTCACTCCACCACTGATAAAAGCAACTTTAGCAAAATTGCACAAGGAAGTTCAGAAAATGTCATTCTTTTCCTTCCTGAGACTGTCTCCCTGGGACTTCTATAGAATGACACCTTTGTTCCACTTTTTGTGTGTCCAGCAGAGATAATGTTTATTGAATACAGTGTTTATAAGTAAAAAAAAAAGAAAAGAAAAGAAAGAGAAACTGCCACTTTCCTTTCAAAGATGTTAAGCATGTTAGAGGTGCTACCATTGTATTTCTCTTCACTAAAATTAAGAATGAAAAAGAAAAAGCAAAGGCAGAGACAGCCCACATAAACTATACATGTATCAAGTGAATTCTTGGTTGAGATGCAATATGTTTGAACTATTCTGTGTGTGTGGGTTTGCCCAGTTGGATGTACAGCTCCCTATACTCATAAAAATGTTTACTACCGGTTTACTTTCTTTAAAAGAAGGACTTTGTGTTTTTTGGCTGCACTGGGTTTTCTTTGCTGCATGACGGCTTTCTCTAGTTGTGGTGCTTTATTGAACTTGCTCAGCCGTGTCCGACTCTTTGCAACCCCATGGACTGTAGCCTCCCAGGCTCCTCCGTCCGTGGAATTTTCCAGGCAAGAGTACTGGAGTGGGCTGCCATTTCCTTCTCCATAGTTGTGGGGAGGGGAGGGGTTGGCTAACCTACTCTTTGGGGCTTCTTTGCATCCCACCGCACAGGCTTCCCACTGCAGCGGCTCTGTTGCCGAGGAGGGGCTCTAGGCGGGAGGGCTTGGTTGCTCCGTGGGAAGTGGCATCTTCCCAGACCAGGGATCGAACCCGTGTCCCCTGCATTGGCAGGCATGTTTTTAACCACTAGACCACCAGGGAAGTCGTAGTGTTTATTTTATATACTTTATACTAAACTTTAAGCTGAGTGAGGAGGCAAACTTTCTGGATTCCAGTCGTCTAGATTCCAGATTGTTGCTCGCTCATACCTCTGCAGCCTGACCGTCACCAAGTTACCTGCTGCCTTAATGCTCAGTTCCCACGTCTGTGAACTGGGAAGTGAGTGTTAGTTGCTCAGTCGTGTCTACTCTGCATCCCCATGGACTGCAGCCCACCAGGCTCGTCTGTCCATGGGGTTTCCCAGTCGAGAATTCCGGAGTGGGGTGCCATTTCCTCCTCCAGGGGAGCTTTCCAGCCCAGGGACTGAACCTGGCTGTCCTGCACGGGAGGCAGACTCGTTACCATCTGAGCCACCAGGAAAACCCATGATACCAACTTCGCAGGGGTTTTGTGAGGCCTGGAGGAGGGACTCTACCCAAAATGCTCAGCGCAGTGCCATGGGCCCGGCAGCGGCAGCTACCATTACTGTAAGCCCTACAACTCTGTTGGACAAACACCTGTTTAGCATTTACTGTAAGCCAGGCACTGCCATAGTGCTCGGTAAATATTAACTTACTGATCATTCAAAAACCCTGTGAAATTGTTATTATTAATCAATTTTGTATCAGAGGGCACGGGAAAATTGAAAAGCTGCTTCAGGATGGCACAGCTGAAAGGTGGCCGAGCTGGAACCTGAACTGGAAAAGCCTGAACCTGGGCCGGGGGCGGCACCCTCCAGCCCTGCTGCGCCGGCGCCTCTTCTCCCTCCCTCCTTCCTGTTCCTCTCCAGCATCCTGCCCCGCGGTCAGCGGTAAACACCTACGGGACCAGCAAGCTTCCAGTAGCAAACATGGGGGTAACCTTAAAGGACTTTAAAAGTCTGTTTTCTCACTCTAAAATATAATTTTTCTTCTTATTTAACTAAATATCAGTTGCCATGTTTAAGAGAAAGTAGAGTTTCAATAATATTAACTACGCATTCTTGCAATCATCCTCACTGTTTTCTCATAGCAAGCAACGGCTCACCGGTTGTCTTCATATGTAGGAATGAAGATATCCATTTCATCTTAAGGCTGAGATATGAAACAGAAGGAAGCACTCTGAAGTAATTAATTCTCACGGGATCTGAAATCTAACATATTAACTTGAATTTTATTTGCAAACATCTCATTACCTCTCACCAACCAACCTGCTAAAGACAGATGCTGCTGCTTCTTTAAAATACTAGAAATCTCATGCTCCCAGAGAAGCTTTTCACATGAGTGTATAAGATGCATAATCTGCACTTTTCAGTCTCCTTTGCAGACACCACCACTTAGAATTTCACATTATCATGTTGCTACTGGGACAGATAGAAGTATCTTCTGTCTGCTCATGGTGTATTAACACATTCTCACTGTACCAGCAGCTCCTTTAAAATGTGTGTCCTATACACATGAATATCCCCCAGAGGCCATGGGCTTCAGTTATCTATAAAATAAACATAGACAAAATTAAATAGCAGAATACAAGCAAGCATGTGTGCTGGTAGGATGATATAGATGCCAAGCAAAAAGGGAAAAAGATAAGAAGCCAAAATCCTAATGACCATCTCATTCTAACAAAGCCAGTTAAAAAGATGCTGTAGCCATTTTCTTCCTTTTCATTCACTTGTTGACTGAACTAAGGTCACATTGAAAGATACTAGTTTGCATGGGATAGCACTTAACCCATCCTTACCTCGCCCCCTCACAAATAAATCCAGAGTGACAAGGGTTCCAATAAAATTNTGTTGGAGAGACTCTTGAGAGTCCCTTGGACTGCAAGAAGATCCAATCAGTCCATCCTAAAGGAAATCAGTGCTGAATATTCATTGGAAGGACTGATGCTGAAGCTGAAACTCCAATACTTTGGTCACCTGATGCAAAGAACTGACTCATTTGAAAAGACCCTGATGCTGGGAAAGATTGAAGGGAGGAAGAAAAGGGGACGACAGAGGACGAGATGGTTGGATGGCATCACTGACTCAAAGGACATGAGTTTCAGTAAGTAAGCCTGGAGTGCTACAGTCTATGGGGTTGCAAAGAGCTGGACAAAGAGTGATTGAACTGAACTGAGGACTCAGATTTCACAGAACACATAGCCTGAATTTAGTCCTACTAAGTTATTTTCCATTTCTTGAAGGGACCACTTCCACTAAATATTTTTTCAGTCCCCACATCTATTGCCTGGCACTTAGTAGGTTCTCAGTAGATATTGTTTTTTAGGGTTTTAGGAAAATCTGCTATAGTCAATAACTGGGAAAGAGAGCAAATACAGCTGCTCATTTGCTATATTCTGCCTTGATCTCTCACTACACAATTAGTTATGCCTGTATGATCATACAAGCGCTGAGAAAATAAATCACTTCCAAGAATTTATTAGAGCGAGAGAAACTTTGCCTTGGGAGAGAACAGAGCCTCGTAGCAATGTCCTGACTGTTAATGCAGTATACTATTATTTTGTTCCTGGGTGGATTTAATTTTTACAATAAAAATAAAAGATTAGTCCAGAAACTTGAAACAGACCAAACTAAAAAATAAATTATCAGGCAAAGAATAACTATTACTGTATTATTGCTTTCATTTATGTTTCTGCCTTTCTACCAAACTATAAGCTTCTTGAGAGCAAGAACTATATCTTACCCACCTCCATATTCAGGGATGCTATTCAGTGTATTTTACAACCAGTAAGGGAGAGACTTTGACCAGTCAGAACAAGTGCTGACTGTAAACCACCAACGTGGTCAGAGTTTTCTGCCGATTAAATATTAGCCTTAGTTATTCCTGGTGCCAACTGATACAGTGCCTAGAGAAATACTGGATGCTCAATAAATGTTTAGTGAGTTGACAAAGACAGGAATGAATGAGCGCATGAATGCCACAAGCCAGCCATCCCACCAAAGCCCAGCTCTCCCAGGATTGTCCTACTATCACTCTTTTTTTTTTTTTTTTAAATTTATTTTTTTTATTATTTTTTTTTCTACTATCACTCTTTAAATTCCTTTGAACTCAAAGGCCCCACACAGCGCAGAGAAGGGGGCTGCAGGTATTGCGGAAATCACGTGACTTAGGTTTCCTTGGAATTGCTGGGGCAGTTGGGTTCAGTTAACCCAGGGTTTTCTGATAGTCCTACGACCTTGGGTATTTTTAAGAACATAATCTCCATCGTGAACATAGAAAGCACAACAGTGAGCTTTGTGGTTCCAGAAAATAGGATTGTCTCAGCGATTTCTATACAGCCATGCCTAATTTGGATACAGAAATGACTGATTTGCAAGAGGCTTCTCATAGTTATTTTATGTTAAAACAAAATTCTACTGGAACTATTTTTTATCTTCCCATTCTATAATTTTGAATAAGTACCTTTTAATTATTGAAAGTAATAACTTCCCATGAAAGTGTATTTTTAAAATAAACTGTTGGGTTGAAGTTAGAGTGTACCAGGACTGTCCTAAATACTTTATATATGTATCAACTTATTCTATGAGAAACCCGTATGCAGGTCAAGAAACAACAGTTAGAACCAGACATGGAACAACAGACTGGTTCCAAATTGGGAAAGGAGTCCGTCAAGGCTGTATATTGTCACCCTGCTTATTAAACTTATATGCAGAGTACATCATGAGAAATTCTGGGCTGGAGGAAGCACAAGCTGGAATCAAGATCCGGGAGAAATATCAATAACCTCAGATATGCAGATGACACCACCCTTAAGGCAGAAAGTGAAGAAGAACTAAAGAGCCTCTTGATGAAAGTGAAAGAGGAGGGTGAGAAAGTTGGCTTAAAGCTCAACATTCAGAAAACAAAGATGATGGCATCTGGTCTCATCACTTCATGGCAAATAGATGGGAAAACAATGGAAACAGTGACAGACTTTATATTCTTGGGCTCCAAAATCACTGTGGATGGTGACCACAGCCATGAAATTAGAGCTTGCTCCTTGAAAGAAAAGCTATGATGAACCTAGACAGTGTATTAAAAAGCAGAGACATCACTTTGCCAACAAATGTCCATGTGGTCACGGCTATGATAGTTTTGTTCAGTCTTGCCTACAAATGTCCATATAGTCAAGGCTATGGTCTTTCTGATAGTCATGTTCAGATGTGAGAGTTGGACCATGAAGAAGGCTGAGTGCCCAAGAATTGATTCTTTAGAATTGTGATGCTGGAGAAGACTTGAGAGTCCTTTGGACAGTGAGGAGATCAAACCAGTCGATCCTAAAGGAAATCAACTCTAAATATTTACTGGAAGGACTGATGCTGCAACTAAACCTCCAATACTTTGGTCACCTGATGCGAAGAGGTGACTCATTGGAAAAGACCCTAGTGCTGGTTGAGGGCAGGCAGAGAAGGGGATGACAGAGGATGAGTTGGTTGAATGGCATCACTGATCCAATGGATATAAGTTTGAGCAAAGTCCGGTAGATAGTAAAGGACAGGGAAGACTGGCGTGCTGCAGTGCCTGGGGTCATAAAGAGTTGGACATGACTGAGCTACTGAAAGACAATAAACTTATTCAGTGAAGGCTGGTAAATGTTAAACAATCCCCTCTGAGTAGAAGAGGTGGTTTAAGCACTGATTTGTAGAGTCTTCCAATTTCTGTTCCTCTCACCCTGGAGGATATTAGGCTACCAGAGTGATTTCACTGAGTGTGGAGCTGGAAAGAGGAGGAGTCGTGACTACCCAGAGCTCTGCCGTCAGCTCTAGCACACAGCTTGTTCTGACACCTCATGTCCTCAAGACTGATAAGTAGGATCTGAAAAAGGGATTTAGAGGTCAACTTGCATTGCATCCACATTTTCAAACATGAAAATATAGGCCCGCATGTTGATTACTATTGACAAAGTCATGATTACATTAGCAATCAAGAGCTGTCTATGGGACCTGGCTCAGACACTAAAGAATCCACCTGCAATGCGGGAGACCTGGGTTCGATCCCTGGGTTGGGAAGATTTCCCTGGAGGAAGGCAAGGCGACCCACTCCAGTATTAGCTTGGAAAATCCCCATGGACAGAGAAGCCTGGCGTACTGTAGTCCATGGGGTCGCAAAGAGTTGGAATGACTGAGCAACTAAAAATATGGGACCTAGGTGGATCCCTTGGTGGCTCAGATGGTAAAGAATCTGCCTACAATGTGGGAGACCAGGGTTCAATCCCTGGGTAGGGACGATCTCCTAGAGAAGGGAATGGCAACCCACACCATTATTCTTGCCTGGAAAATCCCATGGACAGAGGAGCCTGGCAGGTTACAGTCCATGGGATCACAAAGAGCCAGACATGACTGAGCAGCTAACACACAGCACATGGGACTTGGATAGACAAGAGGCTGAATTCTAAGCTAACTGGTCAAGTTTCCATTCAAAAACGGTCCAGTTCTGAAAGTAGTGTCCGTCATCTTTGTTTCGAGAAAAGTCTAAATTTCAAGTCTCCTTTTCATATTCACACACCTTTCCTGGCTGTTAGTCTAGGCTTCCCTTCCTTAAGGGTATCTAGATAATCTTATGACTGCCTTCTGCTTTGTTTATTGCACAGCATATATAAAAAGACAATCAAATTGGGACCAGCATGTCCACCTATTCCACGCCTATGTGACTGTCTATGGGATGGCCCTTGGTGCCAAACTTCACAAGATTGCTGAAGTTTCAATACTTAATTCCTCTGGATATTGAAAAAATTTTCTAGCTTCCTAGGTCTAATACCACAAAACCTCCTAAGCAAATAATTTTCACATATATGTTAGGTAAAGTCTATTTATAGAATGCTGAGTCTAAGTCATTGAAATCAAAATTTTTAAAGCCTTATTATCAAAAGTGGAGTTAAGAAACCCTATAATCCACCTTCATGTATTTAACAGTTTTGCCCATGTTTGAAGTTTATATCATAGAAATTCTTCCATACAGCGAAATTTTAGTTGTAAAATCTGCTAAAATCTAAAATAAAGCTATTAGAAATAACTTCGTGAATAAGAAACTTCACTTCTCTTGTGTTTGCCTTTTAAAATAGTAAAATCATTTACGAAATTCTTTCTGTGCTGTTCTGGCTCTCAAGTGATTTTTTATTATTCTTTAGGGTACTCAGAAAAGCAACTCTTTTGGAAAGGCCCAAGTTACCAAGCATAGAATCGTACTAGATTTAGAACAGCTTTGAATACCGATGGTGGGGTGTGAAGTTCATCATGCTTTCGAACCACTACAGTGAACTTGCTGGTCATCAGCTCTGCAGAAGGCAATCTGCTCAGCTGACTGCTCAGTCAGAATACTGTTTCCTTTGTCAGACAACGTAGAGAGGATAGTTGCTTTATCCATGAAATATATATTTAGTATAAATAGCAAGCATAACTTTGCATCTCTGAGCAGATGAAAAATGATCTATTTACTCTGAGAATATCAAGCCAGCGATCTTACAGATCTCAATGAAAAGGGCAAGAAAAAGGATTTGAAACACTCCCTGATGACCAGGCTCATAGAAGGTGTCAGCTAAATCATCTCCTATCCCACACCCCTCCCCTCACTGTCAGACCTAATCCTCCTCTTCCCCTCCTTCTCTCTGGAGGCTGCAGCAAAGATAACTTAGCTGCCCTTGCACAAAACCGAGACATTGCCCCTTCTCCCATTTCAGGAGCATGACTGCATAATCCTTCACCAGCACCCACCCTCCCTCACGTGGCAGAGACAGAGAAGCTGCTGTGCCCTTCACTTGGAGACCGTCCCCACTTCCCCAAGCCCTGGAACTCTTTGGCTTCTGGACAGTTATTCATTGATTTCTTGATGGTTTGTGANGTAGCCACATTTATAAAAAAAAAAAAAAAAAATCAACAAGGGTGAAGAGATACCTCAAAATATATTGAAAATACATTAAGAACTTAGGGAGTTGCTTTATCTCAGGACACTGAAATTAGTTTCTGAGCTGCATCCCTGTCTGACCTCAGGAGTTAAGGTCTACAAGCAGGATTAGACAGACACAGGCAGAGAGAGATCAGACGTGCTTGGTGACAAAAATAAGCAAAGGAAACAGGGCTATGCTTCCAGGCAGGGATTAATTTAATTTTCTGGGAGGGAGGAAGGGATTGGTTAAGGGCTTAAACCCATGGGGGTGTCTCAGATGCTGATGAAGTTTGACACTTCGCATTGTTTTTTGGTTTTTTTGGTCTTTTTTGACAGATCCACAAAGATGAACAGAAAAATGACTCATTATCTCTTCTGGGAAGGAAAGACTATAGGGGTTTATTTTAATAATTTAAATCCTCTTTCCATAAAGTACTCTTTACACAGACTATACCTTTTAAGCTCATTGTTAGGGAGAAGCTGATATTCGGTGTGACTTCAGCTCAGGAACTCAATAATTAATCCCTTAGAGACAATAGAATGTTTAACCACTGGATGTTTACTTGAGACATTGCTAATGAAAAATATTCTAAGCCTCCCAATTTTGCAATTTACACGTGGAATGAGAGAATGTTCAATTAGGGGAAGATACTGAAATATTGAATAGTAGAAATGGGGATTTGCTTATGAATAGGATAAACTCTAAGCTGTGAGGAGCTGGAGTGAAGTTTGGGGGTCATGGCGGAGGACACTAACAGGGTCATTTAGGAAAGCCAGCTCTGAGGAAGGGCTCTGGGCAAAGGCCGGGCAGTGGAAGGTCTTCTCTGGGCCTTCTCCGGCCAGCTGTGACCTTCATCACAGGGACTGGCTCCGTTTCTACAGGTGGAGGGGAGGAGGGAGGCAGTGTGAGAAGCCAGAGGAGCTGCCGTGGTTGAAGGGCTTTATCCAAACATTCTAGAACTAAGTGGTATCCCCACAACCCCAAACACCTGAAAGAAGGTTTCTATCTGTGCAGGAACTCAGAGTTTTTAAAGTGAAGCCGCTCAGTCGTGTCTGACTCTCTGCGACCCCGTGGACTGTAGCCCACCAGGCTCCTCCGTCCAAGGGATTCTCCAGGCTAGAATACTGGAGTGGGTTGCCATTTCCTTCTCCAGGGGATCTTCCCAACCCACGGATCGAACCCAGGTCTCCCACA